AACAGCAACAACCACCACCTGGGTCTAAAATGGTCCATTTGGGGTGGGGAAGGGTCTGGATTGACCCCTATGCCCTCTTGGGGCATTGGAGGGCATTTGGGACTCATTTTTAAAATTAAAAATGTGGGAGCCCTGGTAGGACCTGGGAAACTGAGGAAGGGAGACTGCTGTAGGAATGAGGAAGGCAGGAGGATGGGACTTTTTGCTGTTTTTCATGAGTCAGAATAGAGATTTCCCGCAGGATTAGACCTTTTTCTGCCCCGGAGCCCATCTGAAGAGAGACCCACAGACTATCTCAAATGATTGAAATCAGCAGATAGATCCTCTTGAAGAAGAGTTTTGTGTAACTTGAAAGCTTCCACGGCTTCACAAAAAGAAACCAGTCCAGTTTTTGTTTTTGTTTTTCTATTTTATTTTTTGATACGGAATGGTCATTGATGCAAGAATATATACATTCAAAATGGAAGTATATATAAACACTGGTGAAAACAAAGCTACGTAGAGAAATAAGTACGATAGTACTAAAAATGAATCATTAATGGATCAATAAAGAAACAAACAAGGGCCAGAGAAGAGTCATGATGGGATTAGAGCAGGCAGATATGAACTCTAATTTCAAGACAAAACATGTGTTGGATGAGGATGGAGGACGAGAATACAAATCGATTAGGACAAAAATATGTTTATTTTTTAGATATAATGGAACTGAGGTTATATCCAAGCAGTAGAGGTTTAGGAAGTCTTTTTGTCTTGCAAACATTGCTGTTAGTAATGTTGTCAATGTGGTCGTTGCTTTGTGTTGTTTACGTTTTTGTCGTTAAATGTTTGTGGGTTCAAATAAAAATTTATTTTTAAAAAAATTAAAAAGTGGGGCAGGGAGAAAAGGCATTTTAAAACCTGGAAATGCTGACGTCTCTGAGTCCTATTCCCAAGAACTTTTGCAAGTGGAATCCTGCTTTTTCTCTTCTTTTTAAACACTGCCAGCTTTTGAGATACACAGAGCTCTTCCTCAAGTGGTTCTGCAGAAGGACGGGGGCAAAGAAAAGAGCTGGCGCTCCCCCTCCAACCAGCCTCTCTTCTCTTCCTCTCTCTTCTCTGCAGGGTCTGTATGGCAGCGTCATTGTCACGGGGGGAAACACTCTGCTCCAAGGCTTCACGGACCGCCTCAACAGGGAACTCTCTCAGAAAACGCCGCCGGTGAGTTTGCGCAGGTGGAGGTGGATGAGAGAGGGAAGGAGAAAGAGGGGGAAAAGGAGGACAGATAGTATGGCCATGGGCTGCCAGGCAAGTGCAACACTCTCTGGATGTTGTTCATATGGTGCATCAATTGCTTGAGACAGCTTTTCAGGTCACACAGGTCTCTTCGTCAAGCATCAAATGCAGAAAAAAGGAGGAAAGACACCACACTGCCTGTTCACAGAGCCATAGAATCATAAGAGTTGGAAAAGACATCCAGTCCAACCCCATTCTGCCATGCAGGAACTCACAATCAAAGCATCCCCATCCAGCCTCTGTTTAAAGACATCCAAAGGAGGAGACGCCACCAAAATCTCCATTGAGGGAGTGTGTCCATTTGTGCCATTTTATTTGTGGTGCGCTGGCCTGACTGATGCCAGTTCTGGCTTAATTTCGGGGCCAAATGAACCCCTCTTTCTCTCCCCCCCCCCACTTTCCCCAGAGCATGCGCCTGAAGCTCATCGCCAGCAACAGCACCATGGAAAGGAGGTTCAGTCCCTGGATTGGAGGCTCCATCCTGGCCTCTCTAGTGAGTCCGGCACGAGGGGCTGCAAGGAGGGCCGGGGGGGGCAACCCCAGAGGATCCAGGCCCCAAAGCCCCTGGGCAGCAAGGGGAGGGTGGGGATACCTTTGGCTTTGGGAAAGGAGCAGGAGCAACCCCAAGGAAGGAGGATTAAAATCGGGGTGCAAACCGAGCAAGAGACCGGGGGTGTCTGCATTAGAGTTACCGGTATATCAGTTTCATCCCACTTTAACTGACAGAGTCCCATTTCATGGAATGCCGAGGTCTGTAGTTCAGCGAAAGACTTAGAGCAGCGACTTGAAGGCTGCATCTGCACTGCAGAAATAATCCGGCTTGACACCACTTTTACTGCTGTGGTTCAGTGCTATGGAATCCTGGGATTTATGGTTGGTTGTGGCACCAGAGCTCTCTGACAAAGAAGGCTTAAATAGCTCACAAAACTACGCATCCAAGCATTGAGCCATGGCAATTAAAGCAGTGTCAAACCAGATTGTTTCCGCAGTGCAGATGCAGCCTCACCAGTCTTTGGTCCTTCAGATGATTTCATGTCCCAGAATCCCCAGTCAGCTTGGCCAAAATGCAGGGAGTTGACGCCACAAAGACCTGGAAGGCCAAAGGCTGAGAACTGCTGACTTGAGACTACTACTTTGCTGGGAGAGCTCTAAAATCAGAGAATTGTAGAGTTTGAAGAGACCCCCAAAGGACATCCAGTCCAACCCCTTTTTGCCATGCAGGAATGCACAATCCAAGCCCTCCTAACCATCGGGAAGTTCAGGTGCAATCTCTTTTCCTGCAGTGCCAGTCTGCAGGGAATTCCGGGCTCCAAGCCAAAAAGTAAAAGCCCTTGGATTCCCTTGCATGCATGGAGCCAAGGCAGATATGGAAGTGGTACAAGGCTGCAGTGCGGAGGGAGGCATTCCTTGGTTTTTAGGAGAAGTGGGGTGAAGGAGTAGCAGCGATGTTGGGTGTCTCTCCCCTTCTGCGTCTTCTCCGTCTCCCACAGGGCACCTTTCAGCAGATGTGGATTTCCAAACAAGAATACGAGGAAGGAGGCAAGCAGTGCGTGGAGAGGAAATGCCCCTGAAGCGAAACGCGCGGCGGCCCCTGCTCCCTTTCTGGAAAACCATGCCATGCCATGCCCCCTCTGTGTCCTCCTGGCTCTGCCTTCCATCCCAAGAGCTCTGCTTCACCCACTTCCGAAAAACCCGGCGCCTGTGTTGCCCCTTCCTCCAGAGGAGAAGCCAGGAGTTGACCGCTCTTTCCAGCACCCATCCCATTCCCCAATGGCAGGTTGCAAGACTTGAACTCGCAACACGGCAAAGGAGAGATAGGCTTTGCAGGGGAAAGAATCTTTACTTCAATTCCTGACTCTGAAGAAGGAAGGACAGACAGACGGATAGACAGACGGTTGGTTTGTGGGTTTTGGGTTGCTTTGCTCTTTCCTCTGCCCTTTCCCCAATCTCCCCACAACCACCTCCTCCTCTCATTTTATATGTAACTTCAGTGGTTCTATTTATTCACCAAATTGCTTAATGGACTTAAGATTTTTTTTTAAACTGTTTACATTTTTTTTTGGTGTTGACAAAATAATAAAAAATGTGTGGGTTTTTCTAAAAAAAAAAAAAAGGTACAATCATGGTGGCATTTAAAAAAAAAGATACTTATAAATCAATCCTGGTCTTTTGCTCTGTTTGCTTCAGGATTAGATAAAGAAGAAC